CCCCCACCCCCCAAACACTTGATTCGCAGAAGTTGAACACAGAGGGCCTCAGCCGGTATGTCAAGGGGGATAGACTAGAGACCAAGAGAGTGGGACAGTGGGACCAAACACACGAATGTGATTGCCCGCGGACCCCGAAACTTCCCGCAGGAAATCTGTGGTATGTGCCTTCCGCGATGCCGAACCGCGGTCCCTTGGCAGTAAGCCATGGTCGGTCACCACTCGACACCCGTGTGTTACGGCGTTGTTCAAGCGCAGCGAAAATGTTTCGCTGTTGAAACGACGGCATCCCCCGCACAACCAGATGGCCGACATCGTCCACCACACACGATGAGGCGATCGACCCCCTTCCGATACCGGAGCGTAAAAAACTATTGTTGATACAACAGAGACGAACAGCACTCGGAACCAACGCCCGTTACACGCGGCGAAACTTTCTACAGTTGCAAAGAACCACCCACCGACTCTCCCATTCCCTCCCCTACCCTCACCCCAAGAGGGGCGAGACACCGAAGACAGGCAGCTAAGAGCCTAACCCGCCGCCGACGCCTGACGCTGTTGCAGCTCCCAACCACGCCCAACAACGTTCTGCAGTCACGACTCGTCTACACCACGGCCATGCCAACATCGTCTACGTTGTTGAAAATCTACCGCAGCCAACACAAAACACGCCTCCGGAACCAAACTCCTCGCAAGAAGGATGGGAGGGCCGTCAAAATCACGAGGCTTTTACTGCTAGTGTCGGGGTCGGCACTCGTATGCACCGCGGGCGGATAACTACGAAGGCGGTCATGTTGATGACGGGGCCTGCGGCTTGCGGTTGTGCTGCATGTGGGCACGCACGAGCTGGTTGGATGCCAAGGCAGCCACCAGGGACAGCTCTCCCGCGAGGGTAGCGCCGGCCACAACCCTGATCACGACGACCGAGAGTACGCGGGGGTGGAGAGAGAGAGACACGACGGGGGCAACGATGACGGAGGGACAAGAGTCAGAAATACATGGTACACGTCATGACGCGAGTTGAAAGAAGAAATTACACCCGTGCGTACAAGATACTTGGTTCTCAGCAGCTGAGGCAGAGCAGCGAGGCGAGGACGTCCCATTCGTCCTTGTGCAAAGGCGGCTCACAGTCTTGTCTTAAGATTTCGCTGCGCAAGAGCTATGCGCCAAAGGGATTTCACGACGCCACGGCCGGTACCAACCACTACACCCGCGGGGTGCACAAGGATGCCACAGCCGACCACAAGCGGAGCAAAAAAAAGCAAGAAAAAGCAGGAATGGAAAAATATTCGACCATTGGCTAACAAACAAACAAAAAAGGACTCACTTCGCCATTTGCTGAGCGTTTTCCCCGGGCCGGCCAGGCGCCTGAGTCGCCCCTCGGCAGCCCACAACGTCCAGGCACGCCGCCTGTGCTGGCAGGCTGGTGCCACCGCCGACGGTGCCGACCTCGATTGACGGCATGTTTACCGACACCTGGGGTCAAGACAACAACAAAAAGCCGTTTGTTTACGTGATAGAAGCAGATGCACGTGAGGTGACACGAACCTCACCACGGAGTCAAGACGCCGGCAAACCGAAAACGAGTGCTACGCGTCTGTGGCCATAGAGGTGAACAGCCAAAATGAAAATTTTGGTATCAAACGTCCGCTTGCGAGACAGGGCTCGACATTGGCAGTGTCAGCACCCCGATCACGCCATCATGATCATACAGCGTGTCATCGGGGTGGTGATCAACACCATGGTCGTCGGAACGAAATCGACCACAATCAATGCCAACAGTACCAGTAGCAGCCAACGGCATGCCTTCGCTGGTGCCGGCACGATGATCACGCCACCATACAGCAAAACCTATCATCGGGATATGTAACGCCACCCCCCCCCCCCCCCCCCCCCCCCGTTTTGA